TACGAAAAATATTAATTTTAATTATAAAAGACAATGTAAGCAATTTAACAAAAAATTCATTATATAATTATAAACGCAATGTGTAAAATGAAATGTTATATATGTGTCATACAGTTGGGATTTGTGTCTCACTGTTGGGATGTTCTGTAGATGCCATTAGAGATGACAGTAGCGGTGTTTCGAATGTTAATACATAGCTGCCTTTACTACCGTCAAGTAAAGACAGTAAAAATATATATTAATATATATTTCATATATTTTTTTTTATAACTCTTATATACGTGCAAGTTGTCTACTAAATGTAGTAATTCATGAGGTATATCTCCGCTATTTTTCGCAAACGCCACAATTTTTTGTATCACAAAACTGTTTTGAAAAAATCAACATGGAATTGTACGAAATACTTTTCAACAATCGCGTTTTTCTGTACATTTGAGTTCGTCTTCCTTTTACAAAAAGCTTTTAATTGATGTACAAGCATACATTGTTATTAAAATAAATGTAATTTAAGTCGAATGATAATAAAATATATTAATGAAAAAAAAATTGTGTCTATAAATAAAAACATACTTTTACAAATGTAATTATCCACAAACATACCTCTTTATGGTATATTACAAAATAAAGAAAAAAAAGAACAAAGAAATTTAAAATTATTCGTAATAATTTGTACTTTCGATTTTAGTGGGCGGCGCGTGGTGGGGGTTATCCATTACCGTGCGCTAAACAATCAGTTACCCCCACCACGCGCCGCCAACTAGGCGCGCGGGGGAAGTGACCGCGATCTGCGACGGGCGGGCGTATCTCGCCGCGCGTTCAGATTTGACGAGCTTTATATATTAATATTTCGAAAACTATTGCGAAGATCGCAAAATGGTAAAGGACTTTTTTGTTCAGTTTAGTCCACACTACCTGCCCACAAGCGCTGTACCATTGAGTATGAGACACCCTGTATATCTATATATAAATTAGTACAATTTTTATTTTTATATATTTTTATATTATTTTTATATTATTAGTATTTAATAATCTTATTTAACTTTTATAACGTATATATATATACGTTATTAAAGTCGTGGAGCAATACAAATTTCTATACATTACAATTAATTTGTAAGATAGACAGTTACAGTCTTATTACATA